TTATCATGTCTTATAACTTACGTAACTCTTAGATAATTTATTTAATCAATTTACTATTTTATATTCTTTCTATTCATCATTCATTATAAGGAAAAATTCATCATTCTATCTTTTTTGACAAGTCACATTATATTGGAAAAATTGTGAAATACAATTTGTTGATTGTTGAGTCTTGCAATTACTTTTGATATAATTGTATGAAAATGGTGTGGTAAGTAAAAAGAAATTTGCTAACCTAATAAAAAATATATGAGATATGTGATTGATTGTACTTGACATGATATTGCGAATATAGTAGAAGTACTAGGCTATTTGTTGGAAATAAAAAATTATTATTATTGATTCTACTTTGGAGGTTGAGTTTATTGTTTTAATTTCAACTAGTGAAAAAGTGAAATTGATTTATTATATCAATTACTTATTTTGAGAATTTTTTTTTTTTTTTTTTTGATAAATTGTGATAGTACCAATATTATTGATAGAGTACAAGCTTGTTATTATATATAACGATAAATTCCGATCCATGAGGAGAAACACAATATTGTGAGATCATTCTAATCAGTGATATACCATTAATATTAATTCTACTGAATCTTGCATATTCAGAGACTAAGGTCTTAATAAGATGAAGGGTGTGAAGCACACTGGGGGATGAAATGAAAGCTCAAAAGTTCATAAGTCATATATGATGAAACTCAACCTGAAAATAAAGATCATATAATCAAGTTTAATAGGAAAAACTAATTATATGACGGCTTGTTGTGAAATGCACTATTATGCTAGAGAAGGGAAGATATCATATTCAAGTCATTAGCATCAATAATATGCTTCGTTTTATTCTTCATTGAATAAAACCAGAGTCTTCGATAAGAAAGAGGCGTCTGAGTAAACAGAAGCACCCTTCGGTCAAGTAAACCAAGCTCACAGAAAAGGAAATCTTTTACACCGATGTATCGTACTCTCTCGACCAGGTCATCATAAGAAAATACGGAAAAAAAAATTCCAAAGTGAGAGAAGGAATTAGGACTTTTGTCTTCTTTCTTTTTGAATTTTATTTTGGATTGTTGAGTTTAGAATTTCTTTCAAAAGAGTAATTTGAAGAAAAAGTAGCAGAAAGAGAAAACTAATTAAAAATAATAATTTCATAGAGGCATGGATTTCACTAATATTAGTCGAAGATATTGTATAAAAATAGAAAGAGACTAAATCTAATAAATTTTTAAATACTTAAATACTTAAATCAGTAAATGTATATTAAAATAATCAAACATGACAAATTTTTAAATACTGAAAACTCTAGACAAGGGACTATTTGTAACATTTTCTCTATTTTTTTTTGCTTTGATTTAGGGATTAAATAGCTGGAGGACCCAATGCATTACACTATTCCGACAATTTTGGTATAAAAAAATAAAATAAGACACAAGTACCTCCCTAGATTATGATCAAAATTTCAGACACGCTTTAATTAAACTAAAGTCTTATTACTCCGAATTCATTTTTTTATAATTTTGTATGTCTTTTGATTTACGTGGCACATTCCATGACTCCATGCAGTTGATTTGCGTGAGAAATGTTTGGATGCCACGTAAGCCAAAAAAATATACAAAATTATAAAAAAAAAATGAGTTCATAGTAATAAAATCTTAGTTTAGTTAAGATTTCGATCATAATACAAGGACTATGTGGCTTATCCCATAAAAAAAGGGGGTATTTTTGATAAACTAAATATCATTGTTAATTTGTTATTATAGGTAGATTACACTACTTTTTTGTGTCTCCACCAGAAAATTTTGCCGATAATATATAGAGTTCCTATCTTTTTGCTCACTCACAATTTTGGCCTTGAAAGTGGAGGCTACTAAGTTAACTGTGGAGCTTTATTAAATTAGCAGCCCGAATCTCGAAGCTCCAACGATGCCACAGAGAAAGAAGAAGTATGTTCAAATCTGCAAAGGTAGATGTTTTTATCTATTTTTTTGATTTTCCATTCTGTGTCCGATACCAGTATTAGAGCTATGGTTCAAAATTGGGCGTAAATACAATTTTGAATTTGCCGAGGAAAGTCAGACAAAGAAAAGAAAGCTGATGGATGATGATCATCATCAGGTAAGTTTGCTTTGATTTCACTTGAGCTTAATTTGATCGGGTTTTGTTGTTAGATTGAAAGAGTTAACATCTCAAACCCTTGTCTTATCTAGGCCATGACAATTCACTTCCAAGATGAAATTATTATATCTGATCTGTACGGTCTATTCTGCGATTTAAATGTGTTTCAAAATTATGGAAGACAATAATCTGCAAACCTTACTTTAAGATGAAAAATCAAAGACATGCGATGAATTTCAAAAAGATTCTTCTTGGCCAATGGTGCTACCAGCGGTGGACCCACATTCATACGTGAGGTTGCACGTGCACCCGACAATTTTTAATTTTTTTTTTTTTATATATATATATATATATATATATATATATATATATATATAATCTATAAAAAGATAATATATTTAAATATGCACCTAAATAAACAAAAATGATCTTAGTGCGGTTGGTCAGAGGATGACCATTAGAGCTCAATGTCTTGAGTTTGAATCTCTGAGAGTATTGTCATTTTTTTTGCCTTCAAAAATCAGCCTTCTCTCAACGGTTAACCCCTTGTGCGGTAACTTTAAATTCTGGGTTCGCCTCTGGGTGCTACAATGATACAAATAAATTTCATACTAGTTTGTATTGTTCTCCTTTTTAATCGGCTCAACTAGTTGAGGACGTAGAAGAACTTGTTTGTCCTGGAAACCATGAACCATCAAGGTACAAAAAAGTGCTCATAAAAAAAGTGTTCAAAGTGTGTTGTTCTTGTAATGGGTTGGTTCTTCTCTTAATTGATGGATATCTTTTGCTTTGAACCCTTCCACGAGAGAATCAATAGAACTTCCATATTCAAAAACTAAAAAAGGGTTGCCTACTTTCGGATTGGAATATGACACAACTAATGATGACTACAAGATCCTTAAGTTTCACCGTGCTTACATAGGAATTGACTCACTTCCTATGTATAGAATTACTCATGATCCTTTTGCATTTATATATGGAGCATTTCATTGGGTCGGTTTCCACAATAAACCTTGTGTAGTTTCACTTAGTATTTCAAATGAGGTGTGCGGAAAGATACAATTGCTAGAGCAATGAGAAAAATGTTTGATGATTAGATTTGCAAATATGGAGTTGCAGTATTAAGAGAAATGTTTTGCTTTTATTATGCTCATTTTTTTTTCGAGGAGCCTACTTGTAAGTTATGGGTAATGAAGGAGTATGGTATCGAGGAATCTTGGATTCAATTGTATACTATACAAGAGATAGGTATGACTTTAAAAAGACCGCTACATATGTTTGACGATGGTGAACTACTACTCAGCTATGAACACCATCCACTTAGGACATCCAAAGGACCATTTGGATTAGGCTGCATATGGTCCCGTGCCTTCAACAAGCAATTACTTATTTAGAAAGCATGATCTCTCCAAAATTACTTATTTAGTGTTTGATTACGTATAATCAACTTCAATTTTTTATTTTTTCATCCCGATCCTCGATCACCCACGCCCCCTCCCCGGCCTGCCCCCCCCCCCCCCCCCCCCCCCCAAAAAAAAAAAATTGAGTTTGTTTTTAAAAAATATGTTCTACTTCAAAATTTTATTTTTTCACCCCTACCCTCGACCCCCCACCCACCCACGCCCTACCAGGCCCCCCCCCCCAAAAAAAAAAAAATTAAGTTTGTTTTTAAAAAATATTTTCAATTTCAAAATTTCATTTTTTCACCCCTACCCTCGATCCCCCCAGCCCCCCACCCCACCCAACCCCTACCAGCCCCCAACCCCCAAAAAAAAAATTAAGTTTGTTTTTAAAAAATATTTTCAACTTCAAAAATTCAATTTTTCACCCCTACCCTCAACCCACCCCCTACCACACACCCCCACCCCAACCCCAAAAAAAATTTAAGTTTGTTTTTAAAAAATATTTTCAATTTCAAAATTATTTTTTTTACCCTAGTAAAAATAAAAGATATTTCTCAAAAAAAAAAATCATTCATAAATCAAACACTAAAGTTTTTTTCCAGAAAATATTTTCTACTCACCAACCAAACATGAGAAAATAAGTCAAAAATCAACTTGTTTTTCAGGAAAACATTTTCTAGGAAAACATTTTCCTTCATACCAAACACACCCTTCATAACTGTCAGTTTTCTTATTTCATGTTATGAGAGAATCGACATGGTGATGCACAGCCATAGACTTCATTAATCATTAAAAATTATCTTTGCCCCAAGTTAAATAAAAACCTCACTAATTTAGGATCGAATTACTTAGATATACACTACGTTGCAATATTACGTATCTTACTAAATTTTGGTGTTTTCATATACGTTCAAATACATGTATTTCAGATACATGAGGTCAAATTTAGGTGTAATTTGTTTTAGATACATTGTATCAAAGTGGATTCGCATGTATTTGGGATATATAGCAAATCTCGCTCGCCACTCTCTCATGTAACTGGTATCTCATATGCGAATTACTCTAGATACATACGAATATATGTATCTAGTGTGTATCTAGTGTGATTCACATGTATCTGAGATACAAACAAATCTCGCTCGCCTCCCTCCCCAATCTCACTCGCCTCTATCCCTATTTTTGTGTATCTGATAGCAAAAATACATGTATCTAAGTGTAAGATACATATGAAACTCTTAATTAGTGGTAAGATACATAACATTTTGAAAGTATATGTAATAATAGTATATATGGTAGTGAAATGTGTCTAATTATATAGTTTTTCCTATAATATATAATGGTGAAAACAACTAATCTAATTAAAAATCGACTTCTAAATGAAAGGTTACAACTAAGAAAACCAGAAACCTGCATTTAGAATTGCATTTTTTTTTTGTTGCTTATATAAGTGTTATTAAATTTTGAATTTAAATAGTAATGTTAATCGAACAAAATCTTGCTACGTATTATCCAAACAGTGACATGTTAGGTAGAGCCAACTCTCTTTGTGGCTTTAACGTCCTTATTTAGTAATCTTTTTTTCTTCTAAGTTCTCTTCAATTCCTTTTTCATCACTTTCCTTCTTCTGATTTGTCTCCAATTCTGTTGCCTCTACTTTCTTAGACTTGGCTTCTTCCTTTTCCTTAATCTTTACGTGTAGAAAACTAATTAAGCCATTAAGTGAAACATCAACCTCATCTTCCTTCAACAGCTGCTCAGCCACTTCGGCTGGCGTCACCATTGCAGTTTCTATGAGCTCTTCAATTTGTTTGAACAATTTGTGCTCTCTAGTTTCCAGGTAATTAGCAGCAAGAAGCCTGAAGCCACTGGGAGTGCAATATGACAAGTGAATGTGCATGTCCATCCTGCCAGGCCTTAACAATGCAGGGTCAAGCTTTTCTATGTGATTTGTTGTGAAAATTATGATCCTTTCGTCACCACAGCTCGACCATAATCCATCGATGAAATTCAACAAACCAGATAATGTCACCTGCAATGGTAAAAAAACAGAAAACAGACATTCTTCATTCTATTTCTTGCAGTACACTTGTTTCCTCAAAGCTTAATAGGCTGGAAGAAATGCTTTTAAAGTAAGACAAGGAAAAACAAGCTAAAATCAAAGGGACTTACCTTGGTTTCTTGTTGATTAGAACCATCTGGAGGAGAATCATTTGTTCGATTAGCCAAATTATTTTGCAAATCAATGGTACAGTCAATGTCTTCGACCACCAAGATGGACTTGTTAGCCGTGGCCACAAGCAGCCGTCTTAAATCAGAGTTTCTCATCACCTCAGTCAACTCCAAATCATATATATCAAAGTTCAAATAATTAGCCATGGCGGCAACCAAACTGGATTTTCCTGTCCCTGGAGGGCCATACATCAAGTACCCTCTTTTCCACGCTTTGCCTACTTTCCTATAATAATCTTTTCTCTTCACAAATCTGTCTAAATCCTTTACAATTTTGTCTTTCAGCTCTGAGTCCATTGCCAGAGTCTCAAAAGTTGCCGGGTGATCAAGATTAATCGCCTCCCATATATCATGTAAATTATAAATGCTTTGGTAATCCACAGTGTGAATCTTGATTGCCCTGTTCTCAAGTTTTTTCAGTTTTGCTTCTTCTATGATGTAAGGCAAGTATGAATTAAGGACAAGGTCCTTGTTTTTCTTGTGAAATGTGAGCTCAAAGGATCTGACCTCAGATCTTAAAGTGGAATTCATGCTTCTGGGATTATAAAAGTCTTTGGACTCTACTTTTTTGCTAAGCCAAACCCACTGGAATTTCTGCCCACTGTAAACATCTGTCACCTCCTCGTCGCGTTCCAATGTTATGTTGAATTGTTTCTCCTTCTCAGGCTTGCTGATTTTGACTCGCCTGGTGTTGGTTGACAACTTGTTACCCAAGTACATTTCAGCTGCTTCGTAGATTTCATTGTTGACCAAGCCATCAAATTCGTCAATTACCATTGTTAGCTGATTTGAGAACCTGCTGAAGAGGTTTTTGAGGCCAAAGAAGAGATAATCATACAATTCTGGCGGCAGCAACTCATTTGCAACGGTCCGAACAACCATGGTTGTTGCAGCAACAGAGCCTACTGTAGATAAGACGGTCTTGGCAAGTGCCATTTTCGATTCTGCAGAAGAAGACATGTTCCCAAAGAGGAACGTGTCACTCTGTGGCTCAGGATATTCAAGATTTTGTTATTGACGTTGAGGGTGCAGGAGAGGGAAAGCTGGTTTGATGGGATGTAAGCAATGGCTAAAGGGGAAGTGTTAATTTATAAAAAAAAAATTTTAAAAAAACAAAAGATGTGAAAAAAACAGAACGTGTGAAGACTTTTGGAACCGTGGAGAGCAAGTGTTATTGCTTAGACTGGGTGGACTTTGAAGATTCTACATATCCCCATTCACATTTTAATAAGGAAGTTTTCCAATATGCCAACTCGAGTATAGCCATTTTAACATAAGAAAAATGAGAAGCTGCAGCGAAGTTTCTGCCACCGTCCACCATTTCAAGTCAGGATAAGATACCAGACTATAGCAAGAGGCGGATTTATAATTTAATAGCTATAGGTTCAACCTTTAAAGTATATTATGGGTAGGTACATACTATTTGTTGCAACTTAAGTGAATTTTGTACACATGAAATAGGGTTCAGATGATCACGGACCTAGTGCCGCAACACTACATCTGGTACCCGAAGGTAGAGTTGACTACTGCATGCTGAACACTAAATCGGTGACAAACTTAGAAATTGTAAGTATTTGAAGCCGGAAGGCCAAGGGTGCTCCGATGTGTTGGAAGATGTAGGAGAATTTCCCATCTACCATGAAAACATACTAAAACTGAATTTTTTATTATTATTATGGAAGAGGGAGGATAATTATACGTTGCTCAATGGAAATGAACATAGCGAAACTTCATGCAGTCCATGCTGCAGAGGGAGTCACATTCAACCAATGTAAAAGGTTACAAAAAGATCATGGATAACTTGTTGAAATTGATATCATATGGACAGATAACAACTGCAGCTGCAGTGCTGTAGTGTTTCAAGTTGCTAGATGAGTACAGAGGAGCCCGGGACATGATCAGAATAACTATCTGTCCATCCATGTGTACTTCCCTTTGTCTGAAGATTAATAAGAACTTGAATATAAAGAAAGATAATTTGCCCTGGTGAATGTGTAAAAAATAATTGGAGAAAGCTTCATTGGCATATTAACACAACATTCAAACAAAAAAGAGCTAATGCTTATGATCTGCATCATTAATCTCAGAGGGAGAGGGGCAGCTTGGTGCACTAAAGCTCCCGCTATGCCAAGGGTCCGGGGAAGGGCGCGACCCCAAGGGCCTATTGTATGCATCATCAATCTCAGGTTACTATAAATTTCTTTCAAAAGTCAAGAGACCGAGAGTAATATATAAAGAAAGAGGTGAAGATCATACATATAGGTTCGGACATTTAAAGAACCTAAATCCACTGCATCTCACTCCATAGAAATAGACTTGTACTGCTGGACAGTTGCAGTTATAGCTTGCTCAACTGGTAGTCTTTCCATGCTTGAAGCGCCATAAAATCCATGAACTCCTCTGGTTCTCTTCAGTACATATGCTGCTTCTTCAGGGGAAGATATAGGGCCTGCAAATAGAGCAAAGATTCTTTGCTTTAGCGACATAAATAAATCACGAGGAGAAGAAAAGAACGTGTCGTCATAATAAAGACTAAAGAATTGACGATACAAAAAACATGTCAAGCAGAAAATAAACTTCCTCCAATGTTATCTTACTCAGATAAATGAAAAATTATAACAACAAGTATTTGTTTGACAACTTAAAATTTTGTTCCAAATTAGACTTCGTGGATTGTCTGTCAGAAAAAGAACATTATTGCTTTTGAACAATGTTTAAATGTCAAGAAGAATGTTGGGTTACAAAATGATAGTAACTGGCATTATCTATTTAAGAAGCAACTATATAATGTTAGAAAAAAAAATGTCATGGATATACTAAAAAAAAAGAGAAAAAGATGCAACAAAAGAGAACAGCCTCATTCATTGCCTGAATTAGATCGGACTTCATTTAGAGTGAAAATTACGCCGTAAATATCTATTGTCATAATGTCATCCATCATAAAACAATATTTTCTCTTGCTAGGGAAAGCAAAATAAATATTTAAATCATACAATTTTCTAGTTATAAGAAAGCAAATAAAAACATAAGTTACCCTTATCTCAAAAAAAAGAAGAAAGCAAATAAAAACACACTCATTGTTTCATAAAGAATTTGAATGTACATATCAGGACCCAGAAAAGCACAAATTCAAAGGAGTACCAAGAACTTAACATCAACATACCTCTAAAAAAACAAATGTCTACTCACACAGTTATCATGGAAGATAAACAGAAAATGTCGTAGGAAATATGTTATGTACAAATTTTAAGGGAAATAAACAATAAAAATGCAACTGTAAATCCAAAAGTTTCAACCAGCATTTGTTTTCCTGGTCATGATTTATGAGACAATGGAGAAACTGCGGGGAATCAATGGTAAAGCTATGTGGACTGCTACACACACATGAATCATTCAAGAAAGTAGAATATCAATCTTCACCACTTGACAAAATGTTTCTTTTGTTAGAGTCTCTAGGTTCATATATATTACCACATATATAATTCGTACTAGTGCACTAACTAAATGGTGTAATATAAATTAGGCAACTACCTTAGGATTTATACCCATAAACATTGGGGTAGGACATTGAAAATAATAACATCATATGAGAATCCGCGCAAGGGCTATGAGAAGCAGCTCACACACATACTTAAGCTTTCAGTAATCTACCTAACTTATTCTTTACACGCCAAGGAATTAAGACAAAATAACTACAAAATTAATGAAGCCAGTGAACTCATTTGGTACAGTGTGCACCATCAGAGTACTGCTTAGTTGTCAAATTATTTTAGCTGAACCCGGAATTTGGCAGAGAGTTTGCTTTAGTTGGCTACATTAACAACAAAGACTTGACCCAGTCATTTTCTTTCGTTTTTTTTTTTTTTGCCTTACAATTTTCTAGTTACTTTAGGTTTCGTGGATTACCTCCATGGCAGAGCACAATTGCATCAGGATTTATCCTATGAGTAGCATCTGCAATAGCTTGGACACAAGTTACACTTTCCTCCAATGAGACAGCTGTTTTTGCACCAATTGAACCAGATGTTGTAAGCCCCATATGGGCCACTATGATGTCGGCACCAGCTTCTGCCATAGCAACGGCTTCATCTGGGCAGAAAGCATATGGGGTTGTCAAAAGGCCCATCCTGTGAGCTGCTGCAATCATCTCAACCTCCAAGCTGAATATAAAGTAAGATATCATCATCTTGTTCGTCTTTAAGAAACCGTCTTCTTACAATTAGAAGGATATAAGTTTAGTCTTACTAAAACATATCTACTGTAGACATACCCATAACCCATTCCAGTCTCTTCCAAATTTTGTCTAAAGTTACCATCAAACAGACCAACAGTTGGAAAGTTTTGCACCCCACAGAATCCAACAGATTCCAACTGCTTCAGGAAGTTATCCATCCTGCGGAAAGGATCAGTAGCACAAACTCCGGCAAGAACTGCCACTTCCTTAACGACCTGAAGATTTCAATGTCGATAGAAACTAAGCCACCATTCTGGAAGGTAAGAATATATCTGAGGAAGGAGAAAGAAACAGAATCTTCCTTTTCAAATAAGAAATGGACAAAACATCTCAATGAGCTATCAGTAAAAGTTTTGTCATCACTCAGAAACTTTCTAAGATAATGGACCACCCTATGAAGGACATAATGAGAAACCTCAATCATGGTTACTATTTGCAACAGAACTCATATGGAAAAAGTATAATACATGCTGAAAAATTATGTAAATATATTGTAATCCACCTTCGAGATTTTGAAGAAAATTGAAAATAACTTAAGTTCCATACCTGAACTTGTGAGCATTTTTGTCCTATGACAAATGCAGAAAGTAAAGTTCACAATTACGGATGACCAGCCATTATATGGTCTGTAGGGTTTAGTCATTCTTCTACACAACAAAGTTAAACCTCTAATTTTTCTAAATATGTAATCCGACATCTCAACTATGTAGCTTCTCATCTAATTCAGTAAGTGTGAGAAGTCCAACTATGTAATTGGATTAAGACTAAGGAAGGATTGAAATTGACACTATAGAAGCTGCTGAAAGCCCAAGCTGGATTGAAGTTTGTTGCCATTCTATCTACATTTGTTTTCATCTTTAACCAACCACTGGAGTGATGTGTCCACAGTTTACTGAAAATTTGGCTGGGATTTCCTGAGAGTATCTTTTTGAGGCAACACTGAGATTTCTACTCCAAGAAAGAGGTACTGACAAGAATCATAGAAATGATATGGATCAGCTTTAATGTATCCGACTATGAATGTCAACTGGAGGTTACTTCTAGTCTATGTACAGGGAGCAGGGCTGTCTTGGTTTAGTGATCTGTATTCTTTGTTTCCTTGTCAGTAGAAATTTCAAACTGCTCGTAGTTCTTAGTGCTTTGTTCATGTTGAGTCAAGTAGGGCTTTATCAATTTGTTAAGCCTTTGAATCGAACATGAACTTGCTTGACAGCAGGTTGTATTAACTTGAACAGTAAAGTTGTGTGCAAGTCCAACCCAAGCTAAAATCAAAGAATAAATGAGATGAAGCTGAGCCTAAAAGTCTATAAGGTTTTCGGAAGAGCTAAAGAAACACATAACAAGTAGGACTTACAGGCAATACTTCGTTGGCCATCTCAAGTACAATGGCATTTGCATCAGCAAAGGGCAATAGACCAGATAAGGATCCCCTTCCTGCCATCCTAAAGCGCCCTGAGTTGTACAAGACAATCAAATCTACACCACCAGCTTCCTCAAACTTAGCAGAAATACCTGTACCAGCACCAGCCCCAATAATAGGCTTGCCCTTACTTATTTGATCTTTCAATTTCTGCAGTATCACAATTCTTTTCTGCAAAGTTTCTGCTCAAGGAAGATTAGGCTTCTCATCAAGTCTTCATACAAATTAAAAGAAGAAAAGAAAAACCATTAACTGAGAAGCTGTTAGATTCATTTCCCTGTTGATGAGCCAGTATATGCCATTTCCAAGACATTCTCAAAACAATAGTCAAGATAATTATGATGACAATGAAGGACAAGAATCCATCATATGGCATTTCAAGCTAGCCCATAACCAGCA